TAGTGAAGATGTTGAGGGTGTGATAGCATCTAGACGGGCGGCAACCTTCCTCCCAAAGGTCGCTGCTGTTAGTTTCCCCGACGAAGGCTAGGGGATATGCCCCGGGCCACCACGGCGTAACTGCGCTGCTGCGGCGAGTTAGGTGCAGGTGAATGAGAGTGGGGTCGACGATACGGCCCATCAGGTTGCTCCTTGCGGGCCTGCACTGCTGTCACGGCGGTTATCGAAATAAGCAAGAGGGAAGATTTGTAGAAAGTTCTGATGTCTATGGTCACGTTATGGACAAATGCGGAAAACGAGGCCGGCTTCTCCGCAATGGAAGCAAAGTGGTTGACGGGAGACGCTGCGCCACAAGTCCGTCTTACGAATGAATGGTCGACTGGTGGGCATTCTTTGCGACCAAGATGCAGATGTCGGTGGAGCGTACATAGGCGACATTTGCATAGGTATGTTATACTGTGGATACTGCAGCGGCGGATTGGAACCTGGGGCCCACAGCTCGTTGTAAGGCCCTTGGCTGACGTCGCGATAAGCCAGTGGTGTCGAATTGAACGTCACTGGAGTGGGTCGACAGAGAGCCGGTGCGTAGCTTACACACCGCTGGTCTGAACGCGATTCGGGTAACGAAAATGCATGGCGGAGTTCTTGCCGCGCGACTTCTGCAACGCAAGCCACGGTATTTTCTTGCGGAGTCAAAAGGAGGTTCCGGATCTCCTCACGAACGACCTCACGAAGTAGCTCACGCAGAGAACACTCACTGCTGGCCGTCAAACCAGAGAGGCTGGGAGATGTGTTGCATGGTTGGTTGTGGTATCGGCGCCGTTGCTGTAGTGATTGATTGATTGATATGTGGGGTTTAACGTCTCAAAACCACTATATGATTATGAGAGACGCCGTAGTGGAGGGCTCCGGAAATATTGACCACCTGGGGTTCTTTAACGTGCACCAAAATCTGAGCACACGGGCCTACAACATTTCCGCCTCCATCGGAAATGCAGCCGCCAAAGCCGGGATTTGAACCCGCGACCTGCGGGTCAGCAGCCGAGTACCTTAGCCACTAGACCACCGCGGTGGGGCCCGTTGCTGTAGTGCTCGCTCAATTCTCGTAGCCTATTTGACGAATTCTGCTACGCTTGTTGACGGGTTGCGTAGGAGACCGGCAAACAGCTCTTCTTTGACACCCCTCATCAAATGTCGGAGTTATTTAACTTCAGGCATCTCGAGGTCAGCAGGCCAAATAGCCGGGTCATGTCCTCCGCAAACATGGCGACGCTCTCGTTCGGTTTTTGTATGCGTGCCTCGGTGAGCTGCAGAGCAGAATCCCAGTGGTCGGTGTTTGTGAATGTCCCGAGATATTGCTGCCGAAATTCATCTCCCGAAGACAGCGCTGACTAGTGGTTCTCGTACCACGTACGAGCGCTGCCTGCCAAAAAAAAGTAGACACTTGATAGCTTTTGTTCAGTGGGCCAGCGGTTGGCCTTGGCGACTCGCTCATACTAGGCTAACCAGTCCTCAACGTCCTCATAGACCTCACCGTGAAAGGTCTCGGGAATTTGAGGCTGCTCAACAGTAAGCTGTGAAGGCCCTCCAATAGCCATTTTTTTGGGCACGGTGTGTTGCTGGAGAAGTTTGAGGGCGATTGCCTCGGGACTAAGGCCTCGCTGTCGGCGACTGTAGCGGTGGACAGGAGTATCCACTGCAGGAACGGGTTGCGGTGGTTGACTCGAAGTGCCAGGGCGCGGAGGTGTCCCAAGCATCAGTTGGAGAAGTCCAGCACCTCCACCAATGTCGTGACGTGAAAATGAGAGGACACATGCCGACGGTGCGACCAGGAAAAACAAGGTCTGTATTAACAGAACAAAAGAGCAGCCGCTTCGACGTCATCTTCCTCGGAGCAACTGTGGGTGCTGTGCACGCTCATCACTTCGTCGTCCTCTGTCTTCTGGCCCGGCCTTTAGCCGTGGCAATATTATACTCTCACCTTTAGGTACAGAACGGGTGTATATACACAAGTATGTACGTATAAATGTGCAGATGTATGTATGAATACATGAGTGTATTATATGAATGTATGAAGATGTTATACGGTACTGTGAGTGTGTGTCTTTTGTATTTATTTATATGTATTGAAAAGAGCCTCGATGTCTGATTCTGTAGGTCTATGTCACCTATTTTCGCATTGAAGCTATCGTTATCTTCTGTTAATTTGCTGCTTCTTGAATTTTGATAATTTTTTTTCAATGTAGCACTGTTTGCTGAAACGTTTTAACATTTCGCGTAGCGAAGCCATGTAAGGCGGAATGGCCTTTAGCATCGCTTCGTTTTTCTGTATCTTTCCAGAAATAAAATCTGTTCATTCATTCAAGCCACCGTCAGGCTTGGGGTTACCCGCACACCACGCGCAAAGGCGCGAATCGCTGGCAGGCAGTGGCGGACTTTGGACTCACATTAAAACAGATTCCAACTTTCCCACCAGGATCGGCAACTCTGTGTCACAGGATTCGACTCCCGATCTCAGATTCGTGGGGTCAGCAGGGGAACTTTCGTGGGCTAACTTGAGAGTAGAATTAGGGAGTGATCACTATATTGTCAGCACAGAGTTGCAGGTAGGCAAGACTCCTACAAAGACATTCAAATACATAGACTGGGATCACTTCCGAAAGATCAGAGAGGAAAGAGGGGGTGAATCATCGGAGAACTTCCAAGATTGGATGGCTAGTGTTGGAGAGGACGTAGAAGAAGCGACCAAGTTGATACACACCGAGCTCGAGGTTAATCAGATGGATAGCAGATTAGCACACTTACTAGAGGCCAAGGATTCTATGCTGTCTCGATGTGAAACGCAGAATCTCAATCGCAGGCTTAGAAAGAGGCTAGCCGTGCTAAACAAGAAATTATGACACATGGCCAAGTACTTGAGAGACAGCAATGGCAGGAAGTGTGTAACATGGTGGATGGACAGATGCGAATAGGTGTAAAATAAAACCTACTCCAGCACCTGCTTCATGGAAATAAGACCAAAACCAGCCAGAATCGGGTGGTGGATAAAATTCTACATGCGGAAAGGCAGCACCACGGGGAGGACAAAATCGCCACGCGCTTAGCACGGAGGTATCTTTCTCTGGCGGGCGACGCTGGATCTCCGGGGCTGGCCTGGTCACGATATGAGGGCAAACCATCCGTGCGCCTTGATAGGCCGTTCCAAGAGGCGGACGTTCGCGAAACACTACAAAAGCTCAATGGCCGGTCCACCCCGGGAACCAATGGCGTAACTAACAAACTGCTGCGCAATTTAGACGACAGGTCGATAAAGGTCGCAACGGCAGAGATCAACCGTATATGGGGATCGGGTGTCTTTCCAGATGAGTGGAAGGTTACGTCCGTGATTCTTATGCCCAAGCCTGGGCGCAGCCCCGGAGCTGAAAACCTCCGGCCAATCTCTCTCACGTCTTGCTTGGGCAAGGTGGCGGAGCATGTGCTAAATGGTCGGTTCTCTAAGCGCATTGAGAACGAGGATCTTTTTCCAAACCACATGATAGGCTTCAGGCCTCACCTCTGTGCGCAGGACGCTATGCTACTCATCAAGCATGATATATTAGATAGAGACACCCGAGACACGAGGGCCATTCTCGGTCTCGATCTGGAAAAGGCCTTCGACAAAGTGTCACATAGGCATAGTCTAGACTCGATCTCCCACCTTTACCTGGGAGAAAAGTTTTACAGATTTGTGCAGTCCTTTCTCGGAGGTAGGAAGGCCACCATCAAATTGGGTGACCTAACATCAAAGGCATGCGATCTCGAGCAACGGGGTACGCCTCAAGGGTCGGCTATTTCGCTGCTCTTGTTTAACGTAGCGATGCAGGGCTTGGCAAACGAGCTTGAGCAAACGGAGAGTATTGGCTCCGCAATTTATGCGGACGACATCGCTCTCTGGTGCTCTGGCGGGTCGGACAGCAGCGTTAAAGAAGCACTGCAAGCGGCAGTGCATTGCGTCGAAAAACACGTTAGTCAGATGGGCCTCCGTATCTCACCTTCTAATTCAGAGTTGCTCCTATATCGTCCTACTAGAAAGGGACCGAAGCCTAAAGGGTGGAGGCCTCCCGAGGATTAGGTTACGAACTTCATCCGGGTGCGAGATCCCCAGGGTTCGTTCTCTCCGGGTGCTAGGCATGATTATTGAAGCTCACGGTCAGCACGGGCGTACTATAGATAAGCTTACAGGACATGCTGAAGGAGTACTCAGACTCATTGCAAGGGTTTCCAATAAAAAAGGGGGGCTAGGCGAAGAGAATCTACTCAGGCTATTTCACGCGTTCCTTATGAGCCTAGTGAATTATGTCACTCCCATGCACAGATGTCAGAAACACGAGATTAACAAGCTGAACACGCTAATCAGGAAGTGTATTAAGAGAGTCCTCGGACTCCCAATGCACACACGCAAAGAAAACCTAGCAAGACTTGGCATACACAACACATTGGAAGAAGTGATTGAAGCTCAGCAGACCACACATATTTCCATACTTTTGTCTACGACGGCTGGAAGAGGAATCCTGACTAATGTAGGGCTCAGTCCGACGACTTTAAAGGATTGGACCACTCAGCTTTCGGATAGTGTGCGACAGGCTATTACAGTCTGCCCTATTCCAAGGAACGCGCATCCAACTTTCAACGCTGGCAGGAGGACGGCTCGCGCCTCCGCGCTTCTGCGGTACGCGCATGCGCATGAGGCAGAGTCGTGTTTTGTAGACGCTGCCCAGTACGACGGTGACTCCAATCGCTTTGTTGCTAACGTTGTGGACCTAATGGGACGCGTATTATCAGCCGCGTCAATCAGCATGTCGTCGGCTTGTAAAGCAAAGCAACTGGCCAATGCACTGGCAATCCTTAGGTCAGACACAGAAGAAATATTTATGGACTAGAGATCAGCCATTCGAGCTTTCTCAATTCTGGCTGTTTGTGAGGAAGTTGCTAGGGCACTTGAGGGTAAGGTGCTGACACACCACGTCATTACATGGTTCCCGGCGCACGAAGGCGCCGAGGTAGGGGGGTTGGCCAACGTCGATGAGTGGGCCCATGCCCAGGCGCGAGGTCTTGCCGGCCGCGCCGGGCACTGGGAAGACGGTGGGCCAAGTGGGACCGGCGACGGACTTGGTCCGACCCTTTCGGAAGCTGACCCACCCCGCTTCAGCGACATTCTCTACACCTTTAACTAGATTACCAGCCACTACCAGATGAGCCGCAGGGCTTTCCCCTTGCCACATCGAAATCTCACGAGGCCTAGGCCGTGACTCTCAGGCTTCTGCAGACAAAGTCGTATCCCACACTCTCCATCTTCAGTAGGTACACAGAAGTCTCCCCTCTGTGTCCCGACTGTGGGGTGGTTAGCGACTTTGAGCACATGCTCTGAGCGTGCCCCTTTTTGCAGCACCACACAATCCACGGCTTGACGGAGGAAGCCTTCTCTCTTTTCCTCACGAGCCACGACTGGTTTGACCAACTCTGGGCTGTCCAGAAGGCCCACGATCCGGCGGTGAGGCTTGGCCTCCCTATCCCAACGTGGGAGCGGCCCGCAGTCTGGTCCCAATAAATTGGGGTGAAGATTCTTCCGGACCCAAATAAAGTTAACTATCTATCTATCTATCTATTCATTCAAGCACAAGAAGGCACAACTGTACCGCAAATGCCATGAGGTGATTTATTATACCGGCTTGCCGAGTATGCTGTACACCGAAGCACGGAAAGACAAGGATGAATGACACGCATTAATGTGATAATAAGTATTGACAGGCTTGCCGTAATTTGGCTTCAGATGCACATTTTCATTTGTAGTTCATAAATCAATGTTCCTGGCTATTGCATGGTGGACTGAAAGTATGACGATTGCAATTGCTGCAGTCTTGTGTTCATGGACTTGCAGACAACTAGTGTCTCAAAATAATTTAAAATGATTCGAAACATTGAAACTTTTCTGAAAGATTAAAGAACCAGTCAATAAGCTCCAGCTGTTTTTTTTTTCTTTCTCTGGTCTCAGAAGCCGCGGTCACATTTTCGGAATACCACAGTGTCGCAAAGCCGCTCTATTTTGAAAAGCCATTCCCACTTGCGTGTGTCATTCGTTGCCTGTCGCGACAGAAAAATTTACACGATGATATGTGTGAAGGTGCGTAGGCACAGGAGCTCAAGCAACAGCAGAGAAGACGTAGACACATTACTTTTATGCACAACACGGAGAGACGTCGGACAACACATAAAAAAATGAACGAGTGTCCCTAAGTTCGTTGTAGCCCATTACAATTCTTTAGAGGCGATGCCTCTAAAGAATTGCGCAGAGACATTTATCCACGGTGAGTAAGCTAATGCTCACGCTGTACTATGCCACTTACGAACGTCAGCGTTGAGGTGGTAGTAGTGTAAATAAGGTGGTTTCGTGGTTGCATGTTCTCAGATCCGCGCTGCTAGGGATGTCACCGAGCGGACCAGACCGAGCAGATAATTGGTCCAAGACCTCAAGGAGGGTGTCACAGTAGACCACGAGCTGCCGTGGTCGCTCCTGGAACGTTCTCGTCTTCGTCTGTCGGCTTTCTTGATTGAACACTTGCCCGTTTTTGTTTCTAGCGCCTTACATGCGGCGCACCGTTGCAGAGACCTCATCTTCGTCTGTTTTGTTTGCCGCGCAATTGTTTTTTTTATTTATGCCGACTCATCTAATTTTTCCCGACTTCGAGAACATTTTGTCGCAAATAGCGTTCCTCTATCCCCGAGGCAATGGTACACAATGTTAAATAAACTAATGCTACGTTCCAGCAAATGCAAGAAAGACAACATCTGCAAGTCTTCTATCATCGTACACAAACCTGTGGATCACTGTCGCGGGACATTGTCACGGAAATTTAAAAGTGCTCTTTGCACATATGAGCACAGTTGTGGCATGTACGGAACCTCACACCTGTGAACAGCGCATACCGATGGGCCCGTACACATGGCGGAGGTTACTGCGTATAAACACGTGCCACACAAGCGCACGCACGCAATACCTACAATGCACGACGTGCTTCACGTATCACTGGTGTCCACCATTTCTTTTTCTCAGGGAATATGACACACTGTGTTCTATGAGTCATTTTCAATGGCCGCTCCAATGCGGCTGTGGTACACTTTCTTCCCGTGAAGACGCGTGCGGCTCTGGAAAGTCGAGGGCTGTGGCGGCGATGGCGACTGAAGCGTCTGTGCCCTAGTGTTTTCCGTGCCACCGATGTCGGGCGTAAGAAATCCCGGACAAGTACCTGGCTCTTGGAATCGGTAGTTTCTTCGGCAACAGGTCGGAACTCAAAGGTGACTAGGCTCGCAGAATGAGAATACCACTCTAACGCGGCGCTTCTCATCGTGAGTTCAATCATGTTGGAGTCTGTAGCCGAGGAGCTCTGTATGAAGGTGCATTAGCTTGCCATCCCTTCGCGCATCCTGTCCGACTATCGCTTTTTTAAGCAGTGCTGATGTCCCTGAACTTAGAACCCTGTAAACGTGGTTGGTTGGGAAAGCTGCTCACGGTGACCTGGCTCTGTCGCCTACCCTGATCAACAACAGGCGTTCCGAGCGTCACAATCTCGTTAAATTTCATACGCGCATCTTTCAGCATCTTTCGCTTGTGAGAAATCACCTCGAAATTTCATTGTATTAGGTAAAACTGCTCCTTTGATATTTGTGTTGAGATCATTAAGCGAGTCTTGCGTTTACTGTGCATGAACCTCTCCTCTGAAAAATGGCGTATTCAGGAAGACCATAGCTTCCGGCAGCTGGCGCACCGTGCGATCAATGAGCAGTGCTGGTTGATAGGTGACAGTCAACTTTTCTCTTGGTGGTAACGCCTTCCGCACAGCAACCGCGTTGCAGCTAGTATTGCACAGGACAGTAACAGGGCCAATCTCTGACAAAACCCTCGCAATAGACATGTCCTAACAACGACCTCGGCTCACTATAGTACCAACAATAGGGACCTTCTTTTCTCCTTAAGAATAACTAATTCCTTTTTTTCTGCTAGGCTTGCATTGGTTCTCTCTACCGGCACCAAGCACGATGCTTGACTTCTTTACTGCCAACCAGAGGAATACTTCTTACTTTCAGGACCGGTAACTGGTGAGCTTCATTGTTTTTTTTTTTTATCGCGACCAGAATTCAGCTGTTCTATGTCCTTTCTTCTCGCACCAGAAGCATCAGTTGTCTGCTCGAGGTGTCTTTGAGAGCTCCATACTTATGGATGGGCTTGAAACCATTCGTTATATGTACTTCCCTTGCCCAGATTGACCAAAGCCTGAGCTTTCATGAAGGTGTCAGATGTATAAGCTATTTCCTGCAGCGTTCGGCAGTTCCTCTTCTTTAGGAAAACCCTCGGAGCGGGAAGACTATCCTGCATGAATTGCACAGCGGCAATTGCACAGCTACCACAGGCAATTATGACTTCAAGGGAATGTTTACTCATTATTCAATCATTGATCACCATCGTTAGTCATCGGGATGGAGATGTTTCCCGAAGTGGCAACGTGGATGCATTTACGCTGTTCAGCTGTCAAACACCCACAGATTTTCTATAAGCTTTCATTATCAATGTGCAATAAACAATAAAATACTTCTGTAAGGAGATGCGTTACGTTCGTGTTGCACCGATTCTTATGACGGAAAGATCAAACATCATTTCATATACTGAGCTCTTTCTTTCCATTGTTGCATCATGAATTTGAAACAAATTTTGAGTAACTCACCAGGGCCAGTCGATCCGGGTATTTTGCCAGAACATCCTTGATGATTGTGTACGCGGAGCAAAGCGGTATCTTTACGCTAGAATGGAGTGAGTACACCACGTAGTCTTTAATGAGGGCTTTCATTGCTAGCAGTCTTGTCTAAACGAACAATCAGCGGGCTCAGAATACAGCAGAGCCTTCACTTCAAGTGTGATTTCAAAGCGCCCGCGACGACACCAAACGCGCGTCGAATGCGTACGACGAGCTTCTGTCAAAGGCGTCGTTTCTGAGCAAGAAGCTGTGGCGTCTGCGGGAAAACACTTGGTAAGTTCCCTTAAGCTTTGGACCGGCAAGCTAGCTTTCGTGCACAATTACCTGAGTGGTTTATAACTACAATGTTGACTTCCAGCATATAAAAGAGTGTCATTGCTCCTTTTTAGCCACGTGAAGACACAGATAACGCAGCCCAGATACTTGTTGCGTTATCAGTAGCTTATATCTGAAGTGTCAGGTGCAGCTGATATACTTTTAGATGATAAGCGTATCAAGTGGACCTCGACCAGCCACGCATTGCGTAATTGACAGTGATCGCGACGGAGTGAATATAAATAAAAGGGTAAACAAGCGCAGGGGAGCCTCGAGTTACGAGGGGTGATGAAGTTTTAAGTAATAAAAGTCAAACAGCCTGCCCAAAACAATGCTAAGCGAAAATCATTAGAAGTAGCCTTCACACTGCACTCAAAATCAACATAGGTTGAATACATAATTTTGACGCAAATGAAAATGAAGATTTAAAACACGACTGAACTGAATCCACGTCATTCATATTACGGTTTCGTTACCCTTGTGAAAAGCACCTCAACCTATTGAAGTTTCTTCAATCTTGTGGGCAGGTTATTAACTTGATAGCCTTGTGGATTTTTGCATCTCTGCACATAATTTCCACTCCAAATATCGAAATTCTACGTGTGGTGCCATAAATGATTCTTGCTTCTGAACGCAAATGCGATTGTTCCTTTTCACAGACTTCTAAACTCTCAAAGCGTGAACTATATTCCTAATGGCTGCATTGCCTTTCCTTTACATTTTATGATGTATTTTGAAGTTGACATTTCACAGGAAATACACAGGTTTTTTTAAGCCAGATATATATAGGTAACTGTGTAAAAGGGACTCTCAAGTATTTTCATTGTAACATACAAAATGCTTCTTCATCAGTAGAATGTATTACTAGCTTACATTGTTTTTATTAGCCAATAATTGGGGTATGTATTTATTTTTAATTATTTACCATATTTATTCTACACTGCACATAATAATTGGATTCATATAAAGGGGCAGTACATAAATACATACATTGATGAGTAATAGTCAGAAAGAAATGACAAAAATGAGGTAAATAGAAAACCTTAGCAACATAGGATAAGTTTAAAAGATACAAATAGAATGAACAATAACATCAAAAACAAACAAAACTATTATTAGAGAACATATTGTACACGCATAAACATTAGATAATACTCTTA